TCACACCTCTCTCACTACAAATCCTCTTTCCCACAAAAAACCCACCAAATCAACAATCTCTACAGAATGTGATGCGAATGAGTAAGATAATAGCATTTCCAACATTCTTCTTTCTTTCTTCCCGCATTTCATCAGCATCGATCTTCCTCTCTCCTTTCTCACTTTCAGACATGGCGTTTTGGTCTTTTGGCCAAAAATCTGAATTCCAGATAGTACCAGTCCCCTATATGTCATTTGCTTATTTAGGTGCCTTATTTGTCTTTTTGAAATTCAGGTGGTATTTTGTTGTCATTTTCCAATTCTTAATGATCATGAACAGGAACTCTTAAGAATGGGAAAGTAGTTGCAGTCAAGAAGTTAACTTTACGTCGTTCCAATAAAGTGGAGGAAGAATTTGAGAGTGAAGTGAAGCTTATAAACAATGTTCATCATCGAAATCTTGTTCAACTTCTTGGATATTGCAGTAACGGTGAGGAGAGGGTCTTGTTTATGAATACATGAAAATAACAGCCTTGACAAATTCTTATTTGATAAACTCCTGTGAACCTACCAAAATTGATGTTCTGGTCTTTAAGTACAAGCTGCTCGATGTCTTCATAATATTAAGACATGTAGATATATTTTCATTTCGTATAATTGACTCTTCTAACAAGCTTATTCCAGATGAGATTAAAAATTATTGAAGCATTTAGTAAAAAGTCTATAGGTATTTCCTCCAGAAACATCTAGAGGATCATTTTTAATTCTTTCTTTGCATGAGTAAATTTGTTAACAAGTAAAATGAAAGGTTCTCTGGTTGTAGCACCACAAAAAAAACAGCTGATTAGTGACGGAAAAAAATTCCGTCACTAATTTGCGACAGAATTGTGACGGAAATTCCATCGCTAATTTTTTCGATGGATTAGTGACAGATTTCTATCTGTTGCTAAATCCGTCACTAATCCATCAGAAAATCGTCAATCAATAAATATTTAGCGACGGAATTTTTTTTCTTCAGAAATTTCCGTCGCTAAATTATTTGTCACAAAGTTTTTGTCACTAATTTCGTCGCTAATTCTATTCCGTCGCAATTCCATCACTAATCCGTCACTAATTTTAAATTTTGTTATTTAAATTATAATCTAACAAAAATTTATATAACAACAATAAGATATAATGATTTAAAAAACATTTTTAATTATAAAATAAATTGATATATTTGTGGAGTTGGTGTTAATGAAGATATCGTCATCATTTATGTCATCATTATGTATATACTAAAAATAGAAAGACAATTCTTAGAAAACTTGTTTATATTTTGTTAAAATAATTCCTCTTGATTATTAATAATAATTAAAAATATAATAAGAATATTAATAAATTTCTTATACAAACTGATTTAAGAAAGAAATAATTTTATCATATGTAAAATATATTGAATATATAGTATATGATAGAAATTCAAAACCCAAAATGAATTTATATGAATGCAAACTAAATTGAAATGAATTTTGAATTTCAATCATTAAAAATAAAATTTAATCATGATATAATTAATACCTATGATATAGATTGATTTTAGTCTTCAATACAAAAACAATGGTATATACAAAGAATTTTAAGAAAATAAATTACATAGGATATACATACAAGTAGAAGAATACTGTTTATCATAATAATATTTAAATTATTTAATTTTATATAGAATAATTTATTAGATTTTATTATAATAGTTATTTTTTGAATAACAAGACTTTTTGACTAATAGTAAATGATTTTTTCAAATATATAAAACACATCTAGATATATAATATAATGTAACTATTATACATATATAATTAATTGTATATCTTATCAATGTTAATTAAAAATAAATTTAAAAAATATTTATAAAAAAATTATTTATGATTTAAAATTCAAAATAGTGTCCTTAGAAATTAAAATTATATTAAAATATTTTTTAAAAGATAAAACATTATAAAAAATAGTAAAACAAATATTTAAAAATTATTTTTTATTAAAATAGTTATGATTAAAATTATCATATAGTTATTTTAGTTTTAATAATATATATAATTGTTTGTGTAAAATAATATTATATATATAATTTTACATAATAAGTTAATAGGTTCATTGCAGTTCAACTGGTAAAGCCGCACGCGCATTTTATTTTATTTTTAAAAAAGCAGGTTAGCGACGGAAATTTTTGTCAAGAATTAGCGATGGAAAATTTTTGTCGTTAATTTCCGTCGCTAATCAATTAGCGACAAAGGAATTAGCGATATAACAAATTCCGTCATTAAATTTCGTCGCTAAAAGCATGTTTTTTTATAGTGAAGCAAGGATATAATATAATTTTAGGCACTGCAAGGGGTTTGGCCTATCTATACAAAGAATTTCACATCTGTATTATACAGAGATATAAAGTCCAATAACATCCTCTTAGATGATGATCTTCAACCTAAAATTGCTGACTTTGGGTTGGCAAGAATCTCACAAATATCATTTTAGCACGAAATTTGCAGGAAAATTGTAAGTTGAAATAATTATATTTGGCTAATTTTTTTTTTCACTTTAATCACAATATATGCATGCAGCAAATAAAATATATGTTTAGGTAAACACAACACCCCTATCACATCGATAAATGATTTTAACATTTTTCTTCTTTTTTCCTGTAATTAAAACGTCAATACTACATGAAAGAGTTTGGTGACATATGGGATAAGAGAAAAATGATGGTTTAATTATATTTTTAAAATATTTGGATTATTTGGACTTACCATCATTTTAGGATTTATTTATTTTTATCAGTATTTTAGTTTTCTTATTATTATTAGGATTAGTTGTTATTGTTGTTTTTCTTCTTCTTATTATCATGATCTCACTATAAGTAGTTCTAAGGTTTTCATTTTACGGAGACTTAAGACTTTGGATTGAAATTTCAGAATACAGTTATTTTCTCTCTGGCGTCCCTTCTCTGCTTCCCTTTCTCCTTAATTTCTTTCTTTTTCTATATTGTTTTACATCAGAATTCATGTCTATGTTCCACATGACATAGTATTATGTTTGTTCCATCTATTTCAGATATTGTTGCCTTGAAATTTATATGGGTGTGTTTGTGTTCTTAATTATAACATGATGAATTATGTCGTAAATATTATTTGTTAGAGGATATGCAGTACCGGAATATGCAATAATAAATAATTATCTGAGAAGGTTGATATCTTTAGCTATGGAGTTGTAGTTTTAGAGATTGTTAGTGGTCAAAAAGTGAAGAATTGATGTTAATGGTGAGGCCGAAGGTGAATTCCTCCTTCAAAAGGTAAAAAGATTTATATAAGCATTTAAAAATACTATTTTTGAAGGAGGTTTTGACGTGGGAATTCAGTTAGTAAATCAACACATAAACTGCTTTTGGGTTAGACCTTTTGAAATAGGTATTTTTTCTTTATTAGAGAATCTAAAAATAACAAACTTTAAAAATTAACTTCGTCTTTGCATTTCTATCCTGGTTATTTTGTTTACCTTTTAATGCCAATTATTGTTAGGCATGGAAACTATACGAAAGAGACATTCATTTAGAGTCAGTGGACAACACTTTAGACACTGACGACTATGATGCCGAAGAAGTAAAGAAAATAATTGAGATTGGATTGCTCTGCACCCAAGCATCAGCGACAATACGGCCGACAATGTCGGAAGTGGTTGCCTTGCTCCAAAACAAATATTCCTCCGGTTTTTAATATAAGAACTATTTATCTAATTTGATTAGATTAAGAAAGTTAGGTAAGTTAGTTAATTATAAGAAATATGACATGTTTTTCCTAACATACTATAATCATCTTCCTTAATATCCTTTCTTTCTCTTCTACTTGATTATAATTGAGAAAATATCCATAGGTATAATTAGGAAAAACTGATAAATATGAGAAATAGATCTTATATTTAGCACTAAAATTAACTCAATAATTAGGTCCTATATTGAGAACTAGAGGAGTATTTGTTTGAAAATATGAGACCAACTATGCCTTTCTTGGTTGAAACTAAATAAGGGCTCATGGAACGAGCTATTACTTCTCCATGATTATGGGGGCGTTTGGCTGGAGAATAAAAGTAAATTATGTAAGAAAAATTTTGTCTTGATTGTATAAGAAATTTTTAAAAGTATTTTTGAATTATATTATCAGAAAAATACTTTTTGTATGTTTTGAAGTTTTGAGTGTTGAAACCCATAGAACGGAATACGAACTAACATCAAACAAGAAGGAGAGTGCTTGTCCTACATTCTATTATTGTATTCTGCAATATGTGTTTGTAATCATACATCAATCCTTAAAAATTATATGTCAACTGATAATTTTAGTGTACAATTTTGAGTAAACTACATTAATCTAACTTAACGTTTTGGTTAATTTACATACGACAACCTCTTTTTTTTTCCAAATTCAATTTTATTTTAAATGATGATATGATGTTAATTTTTCTACAATACACGACTTTGCGAGAGAAGTTGTTTATTCGTCTTTATAGTCACGTTAAGAGTGAAATAACCGTATCATATCGGAGTTTAATAACAAGTTAATTGCCTAATTCTTATTGTGTCAAGAAAATATACTAACAAGACGCACTATTCATAAGTTGTGAAAACATGGATTATTTCTTAAATTTTGTATAATTATTACTTAAAACGAAGTTTAGTTTTGATATGCAGGTGGTGCATTTCAAAAATTCGTGATAATCTTTTTAGAACCTATTTGCTCTTTGCCACCCGGATTTTCATTATGGGCTGGATTAAAAGTTAGTGATGGTTATTTTCCGTTTTGAACTCTGGGTATTCACAGCAGATGACAATGGAGAAGACTTTCTGAAACAGTATCAGTACTGATCATGACACACCACCAGGAAGATGTTAATGATAACTTTTTGCTAGTCGGTGTTGGAAATTTTCGAGTCTTGTCGCCTTTTTTGAAAAGGCCGTGTGGCTTAAGTTGAAACCCAAGCTATCCGCAAGGCAAGGTGACACAAAATCTATACACGCGTCGGTCAAAAACCTTTGATAATTGCTTGGTCACCCCCACACAAGTTGTTGTTGCGTCCTTCAAGACTGTTTAAGAAACATGTTGACAAACAGCTCCATCCCACTGATGTTAAGCCCAAAACACGAACCCTCTTCGGAGTGCGAATCAGTCCCAACAAAAAGATGCTTCAACGTCCTAATAATCTCTTTTTTCTCTTGGTGACCTTCTTCATATTCTGGTCAGGCTGGACTCTAAACGGCGTCGTTTCAGACCCAGAGACCAATCTTCTGCACAGTGAATGCAGCCCGTTCTATGAATACGTCCCATCCAACTTCTCGACGTTCAGCGAAAACCTCAACACAACGTTTAGAGAAATCCGAGGGCAGATCGTGACTCAGAACAAGTACTTCGCGACGGCGCAGCAAGGGGGCGGAAATAACCCGGTTTCCACCATTTTCCGGTGCAGAAATTACCTCTCCATCCCCGACTGTGCCGCCTGCTTCGACGTCGCTTCTGTTCAGATCGGCAACTGCTCCGGCGGAGCAGACGGTGCCCGTGTCGTCTGCGACGGCTGTTTCCTCAGGTACAAGATCCGACTAACCCACCTGATTCAATTTTGACTTCCCTCTTGAAACAGTGCAAGCTTAGGCCTTGGATATAAGATATTTATTGCGTGATCATCGAGTAGTTTGTGACTGTGTTGTGAGGTTTACGACCGTGTTTTCTTTTTGGTTTTGTCTCTATTTGCATTGATTGATTAAACAGTAAAGACAAAGGAGACAAAGGAGAAGTAAAACTTTAGTTAAGCATGATTACTTAAAGTAGATATGAAATTAAAGTTTAACAACAATAGATTTAGAGGGGATCTGGGAAAAAAAAACATTAAATTTCAAAATTTCCAATCATTCTTGGTTACTGCATTTTAATAATAATTGACGACATTTAAAAAAGCAAATGAAAATATATTTTTGTAATCATTTCTGATTTGAGATTTTGAAATTTAGAGGTTTTTTTTTGGGATTTTTTTAATAGATTACACATTTCTCATTCTAATGATAAGGTAATAATTTGATTCATTAAATTTCTTAAAAATTTATTTACATAATTTTTTTTAGCGTTGATAAACATTTCATATGAAAAAATTTATAACTTGCAAGGTTTTATTAATATAATTGATGAAATAAAAAGTTGCTTATTTCTCAGACAAATAATTTAATAGGCAAGATTTTAACACATCATAATCAACAACAAGTTGTCAAATTCATCAACACACAGGTCACACACGCAATAAGTGAGTATAAATGCTCAAATGCCGTCAGATGCCCTCTGCTGGCCAGTCCATGTTACCTAAATCAGTCTATAAATAATTCAATCTAGGAATATAAATTTAAGTCAAACAATTTTAATAATTAATGTTTTGGTGAAAGCACAAGGAGAAGATTAAAGATAACAAAAGGAAGACTAGAAAGAGAAAGCTATTAAGAATAAGAAAGTAGGACCAAGACACAATTCAAAATGGCTTATGAGTTCGGGAAGTGGGTTAATTAGAATATCAGACGCTGGCAAGACAAGACACAACTTTAGCTAGAATTATAGAAGGCTTTATATGAATTGTGAGTTAGAGTCTTATTCCTTGAATAAATTTATGGATAATTTATTACCTATTAGAGACAAATGTATAAAACCTAAATTTACACTCTGCTTATTACCAAAATCATAGCCTCGATATTTAAAGAAATGTAGCACGTCAAGTAGGTCAATAACTAATTAATGCAATTTTATAGTGATATTGGAAAGATGATTTGGTATTACTGTGTGGTATGCTAAGGTATGAGACGAGTGCCTTCTTTGACCAAACGACAGCGACTTTTAATGCCGTTTCATGTGGTGGGGATCAGACTAAAGGAGAAGCCTTTACATTTACTTCATCTGTGCAACAAGTGTTGATGAATCTCCAAACGACAACACCAACCATCACTGGCTTTCATGCAGCTACCAAAACCCAAGTGCCTAATAATGGTCCAATTATATATGCCTTTGCTCAATGTATTGAAACTGTCACACAGAGTGGTTGCTCCAATTGCTTAAACACTGCGTCTAGCAATATGCCAACTTGTCTTCCCAATTCAGGTGGTAAGGCTTTTGCTGATTGGTGTTTCATGAGATACTCCACCACTTCCTTCTTTCCTGATAACCAGACCATCTCTATCACACTCTTGAAGAAACAAGGTACGTACGCTTCATTATTTAAAGGTTTCAATTTAACACAGATACTATAAATTCAATCTTCTTATGTATAAATGTAAATCTCCTGCTTATATATGAGTTATATATATCTCATATTAGCATACCTGTCTAATAAAAAGTGGTCTTATGAAGGCATATTTAACTAACAAGAAACTGCTGACTCATTTGAAAATGCAATGGATCTCTCTTTTCTACTATATGTGCAGGTTCAAGCAAGAAAGGGTATATTATTGGTGGTGTTGTTGGAGGAGTAGCTTTTCTTCTGATCCTTTTTGCTTTATGTGCCTGGTTCAAACGACCAAAAATTTCTAAGAGAGTTCCTACAGGTAAATTACTTGGAAAGTCTCCAGCTATTAAATACATTTGCCAATATAAGGAGATACATTGGCTTTCACTTTTTCCATGAAAGAATGTAGACTTCCATCTCTCTGATGAGAACAATTCCTAACTAGTTTTATTTTAAAAACAAATATATATTGATATTGACCAATTCCTAACTAGTTTTATTTTAAAAACAAATGACAAATATATGTTGACCAATGTTCTCCTGAACAGAAGAGATAACTGGAGCAAGCAAGTTAAACCGCCCAGTTACTTACAGTTATAAGGATTTGAAGTTGGCAACCAAGAATTTTAGAGAAGAAAATAAACTTGGAGAAGGAGGGTTTGGTGTTGTATACAAGGTAACTTTACTTTGATTTTCAGCACATTTACGTATTCAGAAAAACACTTTCATGATCAAAATTCTTATATCATTTTGTCTTGACTAGGGTACTCTGAAAAGTGGGAAAGTAGTTGCAATCAAGAAATTAAAGTTTCGCCAATTCACAAGGATGGAGGAAGAGTTTGAGAGTGAAGTGAAGTTGATAAGTAATGTTCATCATCTAAATCTTGTTCGACTTCTAGGATGTTGCAGTGAAGGACAAAACAGAATTCTTGTTTATGAATACATGAAAAATAATAGTCTCGACAGGTACCTATTTGGTAAGTTCCTATCAACGCACAATAATGATGTCTTGGTTTTCAAGTAGTAGTTATTATAATTATTCATAACTTTTTGAGGTGGATATATGCTCTCTTTTTTTTAAGTTAACCACGTTTCATTGACGCCCTTAAGAAAAATTACTCACGTCATAATCTTATTGAAGGACTTGGTAATCTTCTAGATCTTTCTGCAGTTGAAATAGAGGATGACTTTTATGTAAGCCCCTCCTCCTTAATCATTCCCTTCAAATTAATTTGTCTAAATTTGGAAAATAGGTAAAGAGAAGGGTTCTCTCAACTGGAAGCAAAGGTGTAACATAATTTTAGGAACAGCAAAAGGGTTGGCTTACCTATATGAGGAGTTTCATATTTGTATCATACATAGAGATATAAAGACAAACAACATCCTTTTAGATGATAATCTACAGCCTAAAATTGCTGATTTTGGATTGGCAAGGCTTTTGCCCGAGGACAAATCTCATCTCAACACAAAATTTGCAGGAACATTGTAAGCCAACATTATATTTGTTTAATTTTCTAAACCTCTACTATTGTTTATAAATTATTGAAGATAAAATCTATGTACAAGTCAAGGGAACACTCCTATCACTCCCCTAAATAGTTTTAATATTTTTTTTCTTTTCACATAACATGAATGCTTCAAAAAATCTTTTGACGTGGTACATGCTGCATTCCTTTTATGTTGCATATCTCCATTTCATACTCTCAAGGTTTCTTAAAATTTGAAAAACGATTGCTTATATAAATGTTTTCTTAATATTTACGTGTTTGTGGTTTAGACAATTGTTCTAATAGTTGTAATTTAATATTGTGCATTTGTCAGAGGATACACAGCACCTGAATATTTTATTCATGGCTGATTATCAGAGAAGGCTGATATCTATAGTTATGGTGTTGTAGTCTTAGAAATCATTAGTGGTCAACAAAGTAAAGAATTAACCATCGATGGTGATGATGAGGGTGAATTCCTTCTTCAAAAGGTAAGAAAAATTCTAAAAATTGTCCAAAATGCAATTTTTTTAATAGAAAATTTAGATTCAAGACTTCTTTAACAAACTTAGTTTAACTCTTTCTGGTAAAGCTATTAGTTCCTTCTTTGAGAATTAAAAATAAATATTTGAGAAAACATTAACCTTTGTTCTGCTCTACCTGTTATATCCCATCTTATGTCACTTAACTTTAATTGTCAATTGTTAGGCTTGGAAATTATATGAGAGAGATATGCACCTAGAGTTGGTGGACAAAAACTTAAGCCCTTCTGACTATGATGAAGACGAAGTGATGAAAATGATAGAGATTGGTTTGCTTTGCACTCAAGCATCTACTGAAGGAAGGCCAATGATGTCTGAAGTAGTTGTTTTGCTCCAAAACAAGGATTTGTTAGAGAATAGGAAGCCCACTATGCCTATCTTGATTGAAACTAATTAAAGGTATATGGAAATACTTCCTCTAATCACACACACACACACACACGAGGCATTTTTTAAACCTTTTTTTTTGTTCCCTTTTATTAGTCACTTTATAAGATTGTTGGAGCATGATATATTTTTCATTTATGCCTTGTAATGGAGACCATGATGTAGATATGGTAAAAGAAGGTAAAAATTAATGTGATATAGTGGAATTTAGTGTAGTTAATAATAATATTGAAAATTATATTAATTTTATGGCAACTTCAATGCTTCTTTTTGTATGCATAAATTAGTTAAAATTGACTTACATTTAGAATCGAAGAAGTATGTTTCTATCTATACTATTTTTTTAAAATCCAATCTAGTAATGCCTTGAATTATGTAATATGATCAGCGTGATAATTTTACCTTTCCAGAATGTGGAGTACGATACGGATGACATAGAATTAATTACCAATGGTGGAGTACAGTTGTTGAATATGGAGTAATCGGAAGCTTCTAGGATTTCTATCCAACTACTAGGTGCAAAATGTGTAAGCCTACGTTAGCACGAGTTCATGAGCTGTATTATCAAAGTTCCTTGGTGCGTACATAAAGGAAATTTCCCTAATTCAAGTATCCAACTGAACTAAGTCCCTTAAAAAAGACTTAATAATTGAAATTCTCCTTTTATTTTATAAAATGACTAATTTTAATTTATTTACGGCCTTTTATTTTAGGTGCATTGAAGGGGTTTAAATGTTACCATTTCAACATGCATCTCAGGCCAAGTATCTTTTACTCGTGATGCAAATGCAATGCACAAAATAAATAATAACTTCAAAGTTTCCGAAAAATTGTACTTCGATCTAACTAACTTCCTCCCACACCCTCATCTTTTAATTTAACGTTTAAGCCTTACTAAAAAGTGAAGAAAAAGATTAATTAAATGAATAAAAATTTAGCGTCCAATAAAATATGTTTAACAGATTAAAAGAAGGAAGTACCCATGATTCAAATAAATACTACTTGTTGAGACATCCAGGAGTCAAACTCTCTGATCATGCAAGTTAAAGAAAGTGCATATGCAACACCTAACTTTTATATATACTAATAGATCATTTTAACGTTAGTGAAATCACTAATGTCAGGTTTCCGACCTGGGAAAAGACAGGGATTTTTTTTTTTATATACTGACGAGTGATTCACACACTTGAACCCTACTTCTAAAGCATGTACGACAGGCACATAAATGTAAAATAATACTACTACTATATAAGTTACTACCCCGGTCATTCAGGACAATGACCCTTACCTAAGCACTAGAAGTACACACTCCTTTAAGAAGGATACAAAATAGCATAATTACTAGTATGTGGGGGTTACTGGCACTTAATCATCTAATAAGTCAGATAATTAAATATCAAAATAATTATTCTGTAGGTACAAAAGCAGCAAGCATTCCTGCTCTTCATACAAGCCCACCTTCAGCTCTTATAATTTCTTTACCCTTGGTACTTCTTGCCCTAGCTGTATAATATAGGAAAGAAGAGTGAGATTCGAACGAATCCCCGTAGTAGTAATTTCCATCAAACAAATGTGCAGATTACATAAAGCATGCAAAACAAGCCAATGTGGAACATAACCTTGCAAGCTAATGCAATTAAGCATTTATGCGCAATGACAGATAGACAAGTTGAATAAATAATGCGCAAATAATTGGCAATCACTGCCCCATGTCTATCAGCTACACGTGATCACGGCTAAATAATCCATGCAAGGAATTAAGGATTACATGTTCTCATGTTTTAGAAAAGCAATATGGCACATACAAACATGCAGCAATCATACACAAGTGTAAGGTAGGAAAGAACTACTACCTGAACCTTCTGCTTCAAAATCAAACCTTACTTGTTTCCTTTCTCTTAGCTTTTTCGGTGGGCTTTTGCAGATATCAAAACCTATTATTTTAGTAAGAGTAGGTTAATGCTTGATCCAACAGAATTTATAAATTAAATAACTCTCTTTAAATCCCAATCTCTTTCAATCTCTAGCCTCACTTAATAGTTGGTCATCCTGGACAATTTTTCTTATTTAAACTATTCTCTTTAGAGGGTTTCCTTCCTTATCTCAAACCATACAGTTACTTTACTTAGTAACTGGTCATCTTGGTCAAAAATACTATTTTTATTTATTATATTTTAAGGACAATGTCCGCAACTCAACTTACAACCCCTAACTATTTACATCTCAATCGCATACACATGCAAATGCTTTCAAGTCCTCTTACTTGAGTTTCAATCAAGTAAAAAGTCCGAATGACATACACGTACTCATTTATAAATACATATTCAATCACACATATTAACATACTTATATCCTCCTCATTGGGATTCAGTCTAGAAATCTTAAGTCTATTGAACTTGTAATTTATCCTTTCAATGAAAAAGCTTCCTAATAGCAACTCTATCAACAGTTCAAAGCATCAATCAGTGAGAGATATATGTATTGTTCTCAGCTTCCATATTTGAACTCCCACATGTAATATCTCATATGCACCCTTTTATTCCCTTGAGCAACTTTAACCTCAAATCTGAAAAATGTATCTATTCAACTCCTCATTTGACATTCTAAAACAATTTCTTGGCGTCAAGAAACATAAAGCAGCAGCATTAATTTAATTCCTAGTTCAAGCACATTTAAACCATCATCTTTGAATCCTTGGACCCACTTTTATTCATCTAAAAGAAGACCCACCTACAAACAATCAAAATCACAAGTAAACTATTAAAATCAACATCTAAATTACTAGCTTCATTTAGTCTAACACCATCATCACAAATCAAGGCCATTTAAACCAAAAAGTCCCATTTCAATTTCTTTTCTTCATTTTTAGCCCAAAACTCCAGATTCAATAATACTCCCAATCTTCACATCTCAAAGCATTAAGATTAAATAATTTCCTCAAGCTCATTCCTTTCTACTTTCATGTTCCAAAACCATTTAACTATACAAAATCAATTCCTACAACTATGACCGAGACACACATATACATAAATATATATATCACATTTATTCTACTTGATTATTTCAACTCCACACGTACAACTATAACTCCCTTTCGCCTCCACCCTAAACAGCAACTCTAAAGAACATTTTATGCCCAAACAAGAGGGAGTAAACTCCTATAGCCCCTTTTATGATCGGTTGCAAGCATATAATATATATATTTCACGGTTTTTCTCCCCTTAAATACTTCAGAATCCTACACCTCAAGACCAGTGGCAAAATCCCGTTTCAAGCAGCAAAACAGAGCTATCGCAAATGCACTTGGCCAAACTAAAAGCCCCTCATTCATATCTGAAAATTTTTCCAGCCCTTACAATCTCACAGCGCGCACACATATATATTTATATACACACACATAAGCTTCGGTTCTCCCCTTTAGTTTTCCATTAAGACCCGGCACTTATGGTTAGAAAAACACTGTCTCAATTCGGCCAGAACAACACAAACACCCAGCCACTTGCAATCAGCTTTTACCATACATACATGAATCTAACTTCAACTTTCCCGAGTTATTTATATATATATATATATATATCTCCCTGTAACAGCGGCATCTAACGCCATCACAGCAATAACATACACTGACAGGGAAAACAAGAAACAGAGACGAAGAGAACGACCGTTAGACCGAATACACTCACGCAACCCCGTTTTCTTTCTTCCCAAACCATATACCCCTGTTTCGGTAAGTCAAAAACAGAGCAGGGAACCTACATGCAAGCCGAAAAACACGTCCCATTATCATCAATAAGCTCTACTCTTTCATTGTCATAAACTTTCAGCTTAAATAGAAGTTTCACTCACTACCCAGATGCTCATCTCTTTCTCTCCTCAACATCACCGGAAACATGAACCCAAACCAGAAAATCAAGACAACAATGGACCCGTGAAGCTCACCTGGATTGTTTGATCAGTTTGCATGCGCTGGATACCACCTCCTGTCACTTTTCCAGCTCCGTCGACTCTGTTTCCCCGTGCTCTCCCTCTCTCGCTCTCGTCTCAGTCTCTCTTTTCTCTGAACACACCGTAGGCAATGAGCATATAACGTGGTGATCAGCTGACACATAGAGGAATGAATTTAGACGCGTGGAAACCAGCTGTGCAAGGGAGAAACAATTCAACCGTCTTGAGGAGAAAGCAGCAAGTATATTGTATAATTGCTGTACCATTTTGCCCTTCTAAATAATTACTCCTCCAATCCTATCCCTTCTCCTATTTTTCTGAAATTTTCCAAGAAAATAGCTCTTAATTTCAGAAAGTAATCCTTAATCTATTTTAAGGATTTTATGCCTCAAATAACTTCTTTACCTCATAAGATAATTTCCCTAAAATTTGCTAGTTAATTTGAAACCTCTAAGTATTTTCTAAGAAAATCACCCATTTTGCTATGAAAATAGCCTTAAAATCATTTAAGCCACTTTTTGGGGAATGAACTTTTCCAAAATATTTCTAAACCTTGAAAATCAATATTTCATAATTTTCCCCTTTTATTTGGCAAATAAATAATTTTAATAAATTTTTCTCTTTTCTACTCATCCTAAATCATAAAATTCGGGGTGTTACAGCATATATGAATATAATTTAAGGAAGAAAAAGGGAAAATTTCATCTTCTTTTTTTTTTTGAAAAAAACTTTTTTAACTCTCAATATCTCTATGCTGCCTAGTTCCTACTGACCAGGACACTTCATAAAATTCAAAATAAATCCAATTCTCTATCATTACATTCTGCAGTAGTGCAAGTTGACTTCGTCTTTTCAAATATCATTCCTTTTTTTGCATAATTATTTTTTACAAGATACGTTGCACACACTTTGAAAAGAGCTACACACATTAGACATAAGTTGCACACATTCTATTTTATAGACAGAATGAAAGACCTTTTTGCACATATATAACTGAAAATTTGTTTCATATTGAGTTACGCCTGCATATATAAATATTTTAAATACTTTTAAGCTATAAATATTTTAATGGGGATTTTTGAGAAAATAGTGTTACAAATTTTAGATACCTTTAGGTAATAAATATTTCAATAGATTTTTTTTAGCAATTTTCTCAACAAAAAAAAAGGTATATATTTTCCTATGTACGGACCACACCTTATCGAAACCGAGCCGGTCAATTGACTCAGTTATATCCAAATAGTATTTAAGTGAGTGTAACCAAAGAGCACCACAAGATTGATCGGAAGGATAATAATGTGCCACGTCGATAACGAAACT